CTGGGTGCGGAGGGGAGCAGGAGGGCGCCTGGGGCTGGGAGGGACAAAGCAGCACTGCAATAGAATCTTAAGCAGAAAATCACAAAAGTTTCCTATTACAGAACCATAGCTGTTCAAAGTACTTGTTGTTTATAAATGTTCCTGTGTGTTTGGACAGTGCCTACCACCATGTAGATTGCAGTGCAATTAAGGATGTTACATAGTGAGTAATTTGCTAGTTGAGTAGTCAATGGAATTTACACTGACTACTCGATAGGTACTTGTGCATTCCTCCTTTGAAATGTACAAGAGCCCCCATTGGGCTGTGCAGCCCTGTGTGCAGTCTGGGGCTAGCAGGAAGTCCCGCTGACTCCAGGCTGCACACGGCATGCCAGCTTTGAAATGCTCTTGTGCATTTCAAAGTGGAAGTGTTCTCATGGAGCCTGGGGCCAGCAGGGGACTCAGAGTCTCCTGCCAACCCCGGGTCCATGCGGTGCTGCTGTTTTGAAATGCCACGCGGAGCATGGGTTCTGTAGAAATGGAGCATGGGATCAGCTGGGGAGTGCCCAGCTGATCTGGGCTCCACGCGGCACTGTCACTTGAAACGCCATTGCAGTGTTTCAAATGGGCAGCCCTGCCCCTTTGAAATGTTGCCTCAATGTTCCAAAGCGGAGGTGCCGCATGGAGCCTAGGTATGGGCTCCGTGCAGCGCTGATGCTTTGATTTACTCCTTGTTCTCTCCCTCCCCCGCCTCTATCTGATAGGCTTTTGTTTATCGGATAGTCAACTAGTCCGTAACATCCTTACATGCAATACTAATAATATTACTAAGTTGACTTATTTTTATAAAACATGCTAAAGTAGATTTACTGATATGTTTTAGTGTTGTCAAATGCTGAAAGATAAATTACACTCATACAATAGATGAACAAAACTTGTCTAATACAGTTTTTTAAATGTATTAAATTATTTATTTAGTAGGACTAGAACCTGAGAGATGGTGAGATGCTGACCATTTTTAAATCTCTGCTAACTCAAATGAGAGCCAAAGCCACTTGAGATGTATTCCTGTAAAATAGTAGCTCATCAATTCATTAATTTTTAAAAATCTTGATGGGTGTTCCAGCGAGTTTGAATTAGCAAAGTTTTACTCTGTTAGGAAAACTGTGAACTCACATATCAGTAGGCTTTTAACAGTGGTATATCACGACAAAAACACCTTTTATTATGTACATTGTAATTCTGATGAATCTTTCAATTTATTCTTTTTCTTTTAACTGATAAAATGTTAACATTATTCTTTAAATAAAATAAACCCAACGTTCAAGGGGAAAAAAGCCACACTGTTCTTTTAAGAACTACGATACCTCAGCAGCAGCAGAATATATTTCTGGTGTTATACAGGTACTAGGGAAGTGCATAAAAGCTCCTCTCTTTAAATCTGTGTATTTCCTGCTTTAATATAGAAATATTTGTAAAACACATTTTTAGATGCTTTAATGATATAGTCACTCAGTAAAATTTGTGACACTGCAGCAAAATTTTCTTCTCTTAGAAAACTCCATGTTTTAAGTTCAGCAGAAACCTTTGAAACTATATTGGGAAAAATATTCCCCAAGTTTGAAGTGTCTCAATAATAAATATAGAAAAAGCAATACAGCACTTTTTCTTATGCAGCAATATTGCCACCTAGTGGATGTCTCCGTGTTGTGCATTCTTTCTTTAATTTCACATGCTATGTATGCTTTATTTTAGATAACATAGAAAGTTATCTAAACTGGACAAAGATATTTGCATGTTGTATATTTAGACACTGAATTAATAGAAATTCATTTCTGCTTTTGAGATCTATATTTTGCATGAGAACTAAAACATTCTGTCAGTCAAAAAAAAAAAAGATTTTAATGTTTGATATCTGCATAATGAAGGTTCAGCAAATATATGAAGTTTGGTAATAAAATTCAAAATCTGATTCCTTTGTCCCTGTAGTATACACACATCACCATATTACATGATTTTAATGCAGCCCTACCTCCACAGTACACAATTTCTTTCACTAAACAGATTTAAATCTGGTTAGTATTTGGAAGAGAGCCCTCCAAAGAAAGAACTGGTTCGGTAGCTTTAGAAAGAAGTTGGAGAAGGGCTATAGGTTCTGAAAGAGCTGGCCATCAGGGACTCAGGTTATATTTGGGAGTGTTAACTTCCAGTATGAGAGCAGGAGTTGCACGCACACACATAAGTTCTGTGTATTTGGGCCTGGTGGGCAATACAATATCTTTTTCTGTTGTGTCTGGAGGGGATCAGGTAGTCCCTCATACATTAAAGAAAATGGATTCTCCCATGACTCATCTCAAGAGTTAACTTTTGCAAGGTGTACCTAGGCTTGGGTATAGTTTTAGATTTCTGAGGGCAGTGTGTGTGTTTTTCATAGTAAGTGTACAGAGTCTTCATAATTGATTTTTTTTAAAACAATGTAAAGCACATTTTATTTTTAATGCATCAATTGGCAACATTTATGAACAATAATTTGTGCACCTCCTTTAATTATAATATCAGCCAAATAATTGACAGACATTGAAGTTTTTCATTAGCTGTGATGGTAATGTTTTATGGACAATGAGATTGGGGCAGGGGAGGGGTAGAGGAAGTAAAAAAAAGTAGTTGAACTAGAACCTAGCTGAAAGATTTTTCTCCTTTTAGCCTCTCATACAGGAAACCTATCTGGTCTCATTAGAGCTCAGGTTGTGCTTAATAAAGCAGAATGTGTACATATATATGTTTAGTCAGAATAGAAATGATTGGGTTTGGAATACAGCACATCCAGAATTCCCATTAGGGAGAGAAAAAAGCGTACTCTTGCTGATTGTTTTAGTAAACAGGAGTTCTCCAGGGTACGAGAGGTTTTTTTGGTTCTTATAGTTGCATCTGCACTCTTGGGCCCTGTATGCTCACAGACAGCACCTGGGAACTGATTAGAAAGCTCTAGACATTTTGATCCTTTTCTTCTAGTGTCAGAGCAGGTGTGCCGAGGGATCTTTTGAGACTCATTCTATACTAGTTCGTTTTTTCTCTCTTGATGGAAGTAGTGTTGCTGTTAAAAGTTGTTATTTAAAAATGAAAACAGTTTTGCAATGCACATGTACCAACAACTTACTCTTAAACTATAACTTATTTGTGTGGATAATGTCATCTTTGTTTAGCCTTTACATAAAAAAATGTTTCTGTCTTGTAACAGTCTTGGGGTTAATTAAATAACAAACATATGATAAAGAAATACAATTTTAATCAAACGAGAGTTTCTGTGGTGAGCTACTGCATACAGCCACGTGTTGTTCTCAACCCCCAGGGCCCATCACTGAATTTCCACACCCACGATACTATCTCTTCTGATGGAATGCTCCAAATCAGTCTTTCATAAACATTAGGGATGTTAAAAATTGTGTATTTGTGTGAACATATAACTGCTGAAATTTTTAGTGGCTACACATTGACATGCTGGGGGTAGGCGGGAGCTGGTGCTTGTGGGGAGCCAGTTTTTAAGCTTAAAATCTGGCTGCTCATACATACTAGCTCCTGTCTGTGCCCCCTCACCCACATTGCTGCCTCTATATCAGAGGCAGCAGCGTGAGGGTGACGGGGGAACTGGTACATGCAGAGAGCTGGCTTTCTCCAAGTACTGGTCTTTCCTCCTCTCCTACTCCCCATGCTGCTGCCTCTTGTGGGATGCAGCGGAGAGGGGAAGTGGGCGGTGCATGGCAGGAGGTGGCTCTGGGAGCCAGCACACATGGGGTGCTAGCTTAAAAGCCAGCTCCCCACAGGCACTAGCTCTTATCTCCCCTCCTCCCCGTTACTGATTACCCACAGAGGCAGCAGCATGGGTGTGGGGAGGAGGACCATTGCTTGGGGCGAGCTGGCTTAAAAGATTAACGGTTAATCAATAAGGTGGGGTGTACATGTCTAACTTCAGATTAATCGATAAGCCTGGGTTTATGGGTTAATCATGCAAATGATTACACGCTAGCATCCTTAATAAATATATCTCCACTTGCCTGTAAGCCTATTAATTAGTGCCTTGATCATTCATTTGGATCTGTACAGATATGAGCCCTATTGATTTCAGTGGGACTCCACATGTGCCAAGATCTACATATTTGCTTGCCTGGATTAAATGAATGTCCAAGTTATGATGAGGGAATGACATAAAAGAGGGGATGGGTAGATGAGTGCCACTGTGTAATTACATAACTTGAGAGATTAATGTATGATGTTGGAGTTCACACACAAAATAATTCGTGTTTCATATGTAAATCTTGACGTGAAGGAACTTGAAAAGCAGGAAAAGAGGGAGGAGGAATGGCTGAATAGATTTGTAAGGCAACAGTCAATCTAGTTGGAGGGTGTAGGAACTCCTCAACTGGAGGACTCCTTCCATCTCTCTGTTGTTTTCTATATGGCATTTGTAAGGTTTCAGAGAATGTTACATTTCTTCTGAATAAGCCTGAAGTCCTGACATCATGAAGACTTCTAAAAGAAAGATTCACTAATAGTTTAGTCTCAAATGTGTTTCAAATACCTTCCTAAAATAACTTCATTTTGTTTTAACAGGTATCTTTCAGATGAAGGAATTGAAGCTTGCACAAATTCTTCTGACAAAATCAATATAAGTGACGTTATCCTGATTGCCCTTAATGTAGGTTACAGTTGAGAAATTTTTGAAAAAAATCTTATCAGTGTGTTCAGTTTTTACATGCTGTACATAATACAGACTGTTTTTATTTCAAGGTGTTGTTTAATTTAATATATCTGAATTAGATTTTAGAAATTATCTTTGCCAGACTAATCTTTTAAATTTTTATTTTTTTTTAAAAAAAAAAAACATATTTAGCTGTGAAAAAATGAAATTTTTAATCAAATGTTCATTTATTTAAATGTAACATGAACACCAAAAATACATTTTTAAGGTATACATGTAAATATAAATACAAATGTTAACTGTTGTGGTAATTAAAATATTGCATTGGGCACTTAGGGTAATTCCAGCCTGAGGTTCTACATGCCTTAAAAGTGATATGATTTAGAAATTACTCAGATCTATTTATGTACTTACAAAGATGCATCTTGGAGGTAAAAAGTTTACTGTTGTAGGCACTTGACCCTGCTAGAAAAAATAGCATGTGTGTTCTGACAGCCCTAACCATACCGGTGTATAAACAAAGGAGAAGATGGATCAGAAAGTTAGTTAAATGAAAAAAGCCAAAATTTAATTGAATTCTTTAAGTTTTGAGGGAATAGTTGATCTTTTGTTATAGATACTGCTTTATGATATAAATATATTTGAAAAACTTTGTGGTACTTGTAACTCTCTTAAGCATGCCGTTCTTGTATTATATCTGTTAACTCCTTGCTTGTAACTTTTATGCATCATATTCTTGTATTACATTCCATCCATGGACTGTTCCAAATACCTGAAGATGCTTTATAAGAAAAGGATAACTACAACATAATTGTGGCAATAAATGTGCATTTACTGAAGTAATCTGGATCATTAGTCTAACTATTCCTGTCAACATGTGGATAAATGATATATCATACCTTAGCCTCATATTGGTCATTTATCTTTTTAAGAAGATGGCAAAAGTATGTATGAAATGTTTATAAAAGTTCAGAATTCAAGTCATTGCCTCCTCAGTAAACCTGTTGGAGATGATGAACTGCTTCTCCCCTCCCCCCCC